ACGCCCCACGGCTGAAAGGGCGAGCATGTTTAGTGGTATGCGGATTCGAACCCGCGACCCTCAGATTGTGAGTTGAGCGCCTTATCCACCTGGCCATGCCGGGTCCCCTTCAGTAACAGAAGAATGTCATTGTCCGAAACGTTGTATCATTAAAAGTATATATCAAAACATTTTGATCTGTAGTTAACACCTTGTTGTCTTTATTTTGTTGTTGTTGTTGTTTTCTTTGACAACCACTATGAGTAATTTCATACACAGTTTTATACCGTTTTCTGGATAAGTTAATTTTTGTCACATACATAGTGAAACTTAACAGATTGGCAATACTATCGTGAATTTTTGTAATGTCCCTGAAAAGACCTTCGTTCTGATATCACTTGCAATTTACCCCTAATTTGGCAATGACACATCCTACTTAGCTTATACACTAATGCACTTGTGAAATTTGTAGTGCGTAAGTTATATTTTTATGTATTTTATAATTACATAATCTCCAACTTGTTTTAAACTACTATCCCCATCTTGGCTTGACTACTAATAGTGCTCACTATCTTTCCATCTCCACCAAACACAATAAAATAGCTTGTGCAGTTTATTGTTTGTTTCAAGTTATTATTATGAGATGAGGAATAACAAAATATTTGATATTATTTTATAAATAACGTTTCCTCTCATATAATTTATTGCTTATTGATTATATAGTTTAAGTACATGATCAAGTAAATATATATATTATATTCTAATTCAATTCCAATATTTTCAAGTTTTGTTTCAAAAGTAATTAAAGTTTAATTTCTAGTCTGAATTGCACGTGAGACGCCCTTTTTTATGCTAGTACCCTCTAGTGCGAACGTAAGTAAACACTGAGCAAATGGTACTAATAGTAATCTCGAACGAAGTCAATTATTTCCGATACGAATATTTTAAGTTGAAGGAAATGGAGATTCGTAACCTCAAAAGGGTAATTATGTTTTAATAGTTTTACAGACACTATAATTAACACTATTAAATATACACAGATTTTATTATTATAATTTTATGAATCGGTGAAAGTGGGCTTCTATGAACGAAATCGGAACATGGCTGACGTTGTTTTTCGGTCCCTTCACTCGTCCTCGTAAACTTGTACTAACGTACAAATTATAAGTAGTTGAAATAAAAATTAAGTACTATGACTTTTCTTTGACATAAACCAAGGTTGTGTGCCTGCCTATTCAGTTTTAACAACACTGAACAGCTGATGGTGATACAGTAGTAGTGATGGCCTGACTTATTTCACCATTTTTTTATTTTCTCACTTTTGATAAGTAATACTTATGTAGAATTACATTTGAAATTGGAATATAAAATTGTATTTCGTTATTATGTTAGGCCCTTTTATTTTAATGGCTTTAATTTGCTGTCATTGTGTAAAGGTATTATTAATATTACATTATCAGTCTGATGAACTTTGGTTTTTGATAAGGCTCTGGTAAGTTGCAAGACAAATGTTTAATTTTTTTTAAGTAGATGAAAAGGCTACTTTTAGTGCTTTTATAAACACCAAAAACAAATTTAAGTACAAAAAGAAATATTTTTGTATAACTAGTTGTAGTAATAGTAGACTTTAAGGAGAAATTATTTTGAATGAAAATTAATTAAATGTAGAAAATACATCCAAGTTATTATTCTATTTATATACATTTAATGATTGAATAAAATGGATTAATATTTTATTTATTTTTGTGAAATGGAAAGGGTTCATGGAAGAGCTACTAGGATGATACCTGGGATGGAAAGGTCATCATACAGAGACAGGTTAAGATCTCTGAAATTATTTTCTCTTGAAAAAGAAGAATTAGAAAGAACCTGATTGAATTTTAAGATTGTTAAGGGAATTGATAGTGCCAATACATCATATTTTTTCATACTTATTGGTGAGAATGGTAGGACTAAGAAACACATAAATCTTTGTCTTTACCTTCAGTCATAAAATCTTAGAATTAGGAAGGACACTAAGTTGAAGAGTGTTCAGAAAAGGGCTACAGTGATGATTATAATGATGCTGTATTTCATTCTCAAGTGGCCATTTGGCCCATCTAGCTATCCATTTTTATAATATGATCCTAATACAAACTGCATAAAAAAGCCTTTTTTTTCCTATGTTCAACTTTGGTTCATAAAATACTCCAGTCTTTTCTTAAACTCCTTCAGTGTTATGCCTTCTAACACAAACTATTCCATATGCCAACTACTTTATCAGAAAAGTAATAGTGCTTTAACTGGAATCATCCGAGTTTCCATATCGTAAACTTTTATCTGATAGCCTTAATACATGCTAATTTTTTGGAAACATCATTTGGATTTATGAATATGAAACATCTAGCAATCTTAAAAAACTTCAATCATGTCCCTCCTGAGCCTTTATATCTCAAGAAAAAACATGAAGATTTTGACCTATCTGTATATAACAACTCCTCCAAACCTTGTTATTCATTTGGAAATGTAATGTTTATGTTTGGTATAACTGGGTTACTGTAGACAGTTTCAGTATAAATAATAAAATGAATATATCAGTGAAATATCTGTTGCCAGTCAGAAAATATTCTTTTGAAAATTTTATTCTCCATATATAACATGTTTTTTTTTGGGGGGGTAGGGGGGTGAATAAAAAGCCCCATAGTTTTAGTTATTAAATTATAGATTAGCATTGTTTTATATTTGCTATGGCTAAAACATTTTTCTGTTTAATTTTTGTAGTGAGATTCGATGTTTTGGTAGAAGAAGTTTTTAGTCGAGTATTGTGCACTACTTTTAGCAGTGATGCAGGAATTCCTTCAGAGTTCATCTTCCTATGCTTGACTTGAAGTCAAAGTTGTCGGAAAAGAGATTTGATGGTAGTCTATCGTAAAGACCTGCCGGACCTGGATACCGAATCGGGAACCACGGCAACCCAGATAGCAGAAGCCAACTCCAATGAAGTGGAGAAGACACCATGCACTTCCCCATGTATGGTGCCTCGAGCCATCCTGATTAGTCGGCCAAACTCGCACCCATTTCAAGAGAGGCATTTGATTTTAGATCAGCCTGTTAAGGTGGGCCGTTCTGTTGCTAGGTGCCGCCCAGCTCCAAATAATGCAATATTTGATTGTAAGGTTTTGTCCAGGAACCATGCACTTTTGTGGTATGAAAATGGAAAGGTAAGCTTAATTTCTTGCCAAACCTGTTTTTGCAATAGCATGTAAATGTATTTGCAGTAAAACCTTGATGTGAATAATGTTATCTTATAATTTCATCAGCTGACTTAAGCTGGTGAATTTTGGTTATTCATGACAGTTACATCTGTAGATTGAAAGTCTTGTCATTTAAATTTGTATTTCCCAACCACTGGGGCATGACCTGGTACTGGGGGTGTGGATCATTATTTTCCATGGTGCGAAATGTTGTATGAATATATTTTTATTAATGCTACCAGGACATGGTGAAATGTTCAAAAGATCTTCCAGGGTGCAAGATTCGGATGGCCTACCAAGACTCCCCCCCCCCCCAAACAAAAAAGAAAAAAGAAATGATGGATGCCGTATTCAACTTTTAGATTTAAAGGTCACTTTGGTTTCAGAGATCAAATAAGTACAACTTCTATACCATGATATATATATAAAATGGTCTTTTTTTGGCACTTTAAAGATTAAAATCTAGAACACCAAAATTTTGCTAAAATGGGATTTTATTTAATGTAAATTTGGCGGTATAAGTAATGTGGAATTTGAAATTAATTCTCTGAAAATGTAAAAATTAACAGCAGTCAGGATTACTGTAAACAACACATTAACTCTTTTGTTATGACATTTATTTTGGGTGGGTCAGAGTGCACATTACTACTTTATATACTGTTACATTCAAAAATAAACAACTTTTATTATTAATGTATGTTAATAAACTTGGCATGAAAACATAGTTTATAATTCAGATTTTGACATTATCTAAGTTTTAATTTCTTAATTTAAACAAGACACATATATAACTTTCCAAGTTTCATTTTCTGTATTACCTGGCAGATAAGAACTCTAATTTCACTTCTTTAGAATCTTCTGACATTAAAAACAGGCTGCTACAGTTTCCAATCAATTAAAAACATAAACTAAACATTATTATAAGCAAGGATCTAATCTGAATCTTCTACATTTGTGATTTGCTGAGTTACCAATAAATTTGTCATACTACCAGATGAGCTCCTCCCATCTCTCATTCTGACTTTTGAGAACATCTTGCTAAGCAACTTTACATGGTTGATGGACATGTTTATGTCCAGTAGAAAGAGCAGATTCTCCTATACACTATACTCATTACAGCTATTTGTCTGTCATAATATCGTCGTGTGTGAACATCATATTCCTGCTCTAAACATTTAATAAAACGTTTTTAACCTACTTATAGCTTACTTAGAAAACCTTATAAATTGTAGTAGGTTTGGAACATTCTGTTCTAGTGACTGTATTTTTCCTAAATATAAGGCTAAGTCAAATTTATCCACTTCATACTTGCAGGGTTAAGTATGTTAAGTTGTAGGGTTAAAATATTAGCCACTTGTTACTATTTTTTGTAAGTCCTAAAATATTGGGTAGGTGTTAGAAGATTGAAAGTTGGCTAATTTTATTTTTTTATTTTTTCATGGGAGATAATAAAAATTGCCTTAGTAATCCTAAGCTTATTAGTTTTACATCAATGGTATGAATAGTTTTTCAAAGTCTGATAAAAGATGCTTTGCAAAGTCATTTAATAAAGTTTAAAACTTTGTAAGTCAGCATGGTTTCACTAGGGGAAAATCTTGATTTATCAATTTTTTGACATTCTTTGAAGAGGTAACTGCTTATGTAGATGAGGGTAGGGGTGTGTATTTAGGTTTTCATAAAGCATTTGATAGGGTGCCACATAAAAGATTTTTTAAAAAGATCTCTGTAGGTGTGAGGGATAAATTGGCTGGATAGAAGAAAACAGAGGTTTGTTCTAAATGGAGTTCAGGCAAACTGGATTAATATTATGAGTGGGGTACCTCAGGGCTCAATGTTAGAACCTTTGGTCTTTTTTTCATTTACATTGATAACATAGGTGAAGGAATAGTCAATAAATTGCCAAAAGTTCCTGACAATACTAAGGTCTTAAGTGTTGTTGGCTGTGAGGAGGATGCTACTGTTTCATAGAAGTAGTTGAATCACTTGGTGATTATAATTTAAAATATTAGTATAATTTTGATGGGAACAACCGTAACAGTGTTACTGAAGAAAAGAATCTTAGGGTTTTGGTTTATCATTATCTTAAACCATCCAAGCAGTGTACGGTTGCTAGTGGTAGGGCAAATAATATTTTGCATTGTATTTACAGTATTATTGAATATAAGTCTAAAAGGTTATAATTTCATTGTATACTGCGGGATATTGGTTAGGCTATATTTGGAGTATTGTGATCAATCTTGGGTTTTTTACCTTAAGAAGGAACTGAATTACTGAAAAGTGTTTAAAGGAGGGCTACTATGATGATGCTTGAGATGGAAAGATTGTCATACCAGGACATGTTAAAATTTCTGAAATCATTTTCTTTTGAAATAAATAAAAGGGGATCTGATTGAGGTGTTTAACATTGTTAATGGAATTACGGTGTTGGTAAACCATCATTTTCCATACTTAGTTATGAGAATGATAGGACTAGAGCACAAAAGTATAAACTTTGGCAGGGTAGGAGTTCACTTGTGTGAAGTTTTATTTTTGTAACAGGTTGGTTGACCTTTGGAATGGGTTGCCTTCAAATGTGGAGGAAGCATTAAATTTAAGGGATGGCTTGATAAATACTTAGTTTAGTAAAAGGACCAACAAACCTCTTGTTGTCCTTAAATGGAATGTTATTTCATGTGTAAAAATTAATTTAATTACATAATTGCTGTTGAATTAGTGATTGTTGTATTAATTTATTAGTAAGCAACCAACAAAACATCAAATTATTGAAATTCCAAAAGGCCAATCATTTTTTTCACTTATAAACTTTGGCAAGTGAAATTTACCATCCACTTTTCCTGAACAGATAAGTGAGTTCTTCCATTAAAAATCAGGCATTGGTAGAGTATAAGCAAGTGACATTCTTCAGCTCTATTTCTTGCTGCAACTTTCAGTTCGTCGAGTCTGTTAGTAGCCCTGGTTATTCTGATGTTCATGTGTAGCTGGTGAAGTTGAGTTGTCTGGTAAAGGTAATCCCCAGGTACTTTAGTGTTTCTTCCAGAGGAATAGCAGTGCTTGCTAAGGATGGTTTATCCTCATTGGCATGTCTGTTGGTGAGTGTGCAGAACATGGCTGTGGTTTTGGTAGAATTGATTACCATTCCTGTATGTTTGCACTATTTGTTCCCCCATGCTAACATATGATTGAATCTTGTTTTTGATTTCAACTTTGCTAGATCATCTGCTGTACACAAGAATGTTGTCAGCAGATGGTAGCACATAATTCTTGGACTATCGAGGTGCCAAACAGGGCTTAACACTTACCTTTTAGTTGATCATACATAATTGACCAGTCCAAATAATTCACAGATTGTTATTGATCTTTAAAAACTACAGTTTACACAGTTAAAGCTGGTGAAGCATTGTTAACTAATAGGCCTAGAAAAACATCTGCAGATTGTGTGAGTTTTATAAATTTTAGGACTATTGTTATATATCTTCTAACAAGAGAAAAAAAAAACAATTAGTTAAATTTAGCTAAGTTCATTACTCCTAATTTCATAGAAAATTGCTGTCCACAAGTATTGGGAAACAGCAGTGTTTATGGTATTCAAAGTGAACTAGCTAACTGCCAGTCAAATAACGATCACCTCTCGGACGTGCTTGCATTCTGACGCTAATATATCTAGCTTTCAGACAGATTAAATTAACTTGCCCGCTGGGCCAAGTTAAGCAATTTTAACATGCTGTCTGTGACCAAGCAACCTTTAGTTTCAAGCCCTGAAGCTAGATTCATGATGTAGATGTTGATTCTTGAGGCAAACTGGTATGTTTGATGATCCAATCTGATTGCCAGCTTTTATACTTGACGATTCATCTTCTGGTAGTTAGTACAACTATGACCTATTTCATGATACTCTGATGCTTAGGGAAATCTGGCCTTATTTATGTGTTATCGTTACTTCAAGGGCAATTTTTTTTGTTTTGTTTTTTTTGTTCTGGATGATGGAATGGGTGTGTACTTAGATGTTTAACAAACTTTTGATAAGGTGCCACACGAAATATTAGCTAAGAAAATCACATCATTAAGGGTTGGAGAAAACACCAGTTTATTGTATTGCAGAGTGGTTAGAAGGGAGAATGCAAAATATTTTAAGAAATAAAGTCTTGTCAATCATGTTACTACTGGAATACCTTGGGGATTAGTGCTTGGATTTTCAAGCTGTTTTGTGAATGTTGAGATACCAAAGGTTGACTTGGATCAATTGGCAAATAACAATTATAGTAAATTTAAGGTAATTCATTTGGTTATCATAATTTGGATCATATATTTAGTAAAATGGAAGTCTTCTCAATGTATTTAAATGAATGTTTCTTGCATATCTTTATATGTAAAATACTCTGTTACTGTATTAGAATAAAAGTTAGTGTACAAGTTCTTCCTTTTTCCGTCACTAATCATCAGAACCTGCATGTTTGCTGACCAACACTTTTGGTACTCCAGTGCTGTACCCCATTGCTGCCACACACTTGGATGCAGGTCTGACTTGCTTTAAAGCATCTGCAAGCAGCACATTTCTTCTTGCATCCATATGATACATGTTCCACATATGTTGGCTCAGGTGGAAGGTCATTCATAAATTCTTGATTCCATCTCCAGATTGTCTAATTTATTTGTTCCTAACATCAAGAAGAAACCTTCTCACTTATTTGAGGTTTAGCATCATCATGTGTCTGTTTTGGACTTTTTCCTTAACCTTTGATGTTTACTTTTAGAGTTAAGTAAACTGTAGCAGCTTTGTGCCATAAACTTGAACTTTTATCTCCTTATGTTAAGAATAGTTACTGATTACATCTCCATTCTATAAACTAGTTACAATAAAATTGTAAATATATTGATGATATAATACACAGTTGAGTTGTTGTGTGCTTAATAAGACATTATGATGTTACAAATGGCTAGTTACCAGTGGAAAATAATTTTAGTATGTT